CTAGAAATGTAAACTTCTACATTTCATATAAATTAGCTCTAAATCAAGGTCACAAGTAAATTAGGAATCTTGGTAAATATTCATGTGATGAAATGTCCAGTCGAGGTTGAAATCTTCTTGTCAGAAAGGTCAATTTGGCCTACTTTGAGCTACCTATACAGAGTCTTATTCAGAGTAGTTAAAAAGTAGAACCCAAATACTACTATATGAGATTGTATTATTCTGATATTTGCTTTAATTATGTGGAGGAGATATAATCAGCCTGAAGTGAACATCAGCTCTAAATTTGCTTTATAGGTAACATTAGGTGTCAGTTACATCATCAATGGAAAATTCCACATACTTCTAAGCATGATACTTTCAAACATAATTTGTGTTTGGGTGATTACAGGGAAATATGTAGGGTAAGAATATTACATCATCAACAAAAATTTAAAAGAGAACTGTGTCTTGTGAGAATTGCAAATTGAAGAATACCAGGAGTGGTAATTATTAATTATAGAAATTTGCATGAGCGCTGGTATTTCGCTTGGGAGTTTCCCAGTGGATAAGATAACCTGATACTTGATAAGTTAGACTTAACTATGATGGCATTGCTGGTTAAAATCTACAGTTTAAAACCCATACCCACCTCCTCGCTCAAGGTGTTATAAATGAGGTAAGCAATACAATATAAGTGATCAATCATAATATTATTATAAAGGTTATTTATTGGTTCCATTTGTATTAACCATTATTATAGTATTATTCTAAACTGCTTCACCTAACTTTTAAAATTATTTGTTATTGAAATTCATCTGATGCGATGCAAGAGAGATCATTCATTCATTCATAACAAAAAAGGAGAGAAATTTAAAATGAGAGAGAATGCAGTTTGAATTTTTAAATCACAACAAACTTTTTACGGTTCAACCGATATGAGCAATTTATTCTGAGATGATTTGCAGAAAAGTTATTTTCTTTCTTGAATGTTCCAATGACTTGATTTTCATTAGGACAAAATAAATAAATATTGAAGGCAACATGCCATCTGCTGTGAATCATAGAAAAATATGACATAATCCTAACGTGATAAACCTTATGTTTATGGGGTATGGACAAAGCACATCTATGTGACAGATAAGCCAGGTTCCTTTATATAGATACCTATTAATCATATAGTAAACAGCCTCTAAGCTAGCTACCAGTTCAATTCATGTGTGGTGTAGTAGTTCTTGCTTGGCCAATTCTCACAAATTAATGTTACGTAAGAGTGACACACAAAACTTAATTTTATGCAATAATGAATATGAAAAGCCGCAGTCATGCTTGATTAGAGAACAAATGAAATGAATATTATTGCGCCAAAAAACATAAAAGCAGCAGCACCCTCTAGAACTCAATTGGGGAAAGTAATTGGAAGCCTCCTTATTAAATCCTTTATGGTTTATAAGTATTGATGCTATTTTTATAGTCAGCAAAACTTCGAAATATTAAGATACCAGCTATAAAGGTACAATTAATAAGATCAGACTTTTTTGCAATAAAAATCTATTCTTCCAATTCTGGCCACCTCCTAGCTAACAAAATAAGTTAGGATGCGATGGCTTATTACCGATTAGACTATTGGACATAACATGTGACACGATTAAAAATCTCTTGTTTAACCTCCATGTCCATGCCTTGTTCGAACTGTGTGTAAAACTGTAAAAACTGTCGAGTGGTTAATGCAATGGCTTGTATTAGATGTGCAGATTAAAGACATCTAGGTCTAGTTCAAGTCTTCTGAAGAAATACAATATTGCGAAGTGTGAAATAATTATTCAGTCATTTCAGTGGGAGAGGTCTACTGCAGGATTTTATTCTTTTATAATCTCTATTCATTAAAGAAGTAATTACATAGAGTGGAATGGGCGTCATTGAATAAACTTGGCTTCACAATGTTTCATGCGCTCAGATATATATCGACAGAGAGTTGGTAATGCCACCTTGAAGAAATGAATTTTCGTCAAGCCCTTGGTCAGAATAACCAATCACTAAAATTTTGGGTGAAAAAATTTTTTGCCTAAGATTACAAAAATGACATTCAGCAAAACCCCCCTGGGCTTAATAATACTTGCAAAAATGGAAAAAAAAATGTTAATTGTAGAATATAGCGGGAAATATAGTAGTATAGTGACAGTGGGAATATTATAACAGCGGTATTACATAAAATGGTAACCTGTAAGTGGCCCAGAATAATCACCCGGTATAAAAAATAATAGAATGCCATTTACTACATCTCGAACATAATTGTTAATAGTTAACTTATCGCCGGCAAGCGGGGCAAGTGGCAGTTGGTACCAGCTTTAACTAGATCAAATATTAACGAATATTTTGCAACGTCTGTAAGCATTGCGCAATAGCAATTTTGGTCATGAGAACCCTCTGTTACACTAGGCCAAGTGAGATGCATGCCAGGCTACAATTGATTATCTTTTCTGGAAAATTCCCACAATATGGCAGTTATATAGATAGGTTGAATACATTATAAATATGTTTCGCTTTCCCAAACAACTCATAAATTAAAGAATATGATTTGACTTCTACCTAATTTTTAATGAAAAACACCCATAAATCATAGCATATTCAATAATTCAAGTTCAAAAATATTATTCAGAATAATAGATTATTCGATTTTGGCTGTCTTTAGAATTGTTGAAATAGGACTATGTGGTATTCCTCTCCTACTATAGATATTCGGTACTCCCAAAGTATGTGAACCAAGATGGCGCACACCGGAACGTAGTATGTGTACCGGGTTAAGGTTAGCCCATAATTTGAGGTACAAATACTATGGGAGTCACTCGGCTAATCCCCGAACTCGTAATAGAACTAAGATGGGGAAAATTGGAATAAAATTATGGCCTAACCCTAACACATACTACGTTCCGATGTCCGCCATCTTGGTTCACATACTTCGGGAGCACCAGATATTCTGTTTCTAAAGCTCAAGAGTAAAAATTATGATTATTGCTGGGTGAGTGGCTTATATAAAGTTTCAATTCATATTTTCTGGATTGTTTTTTAAAACCATCGCCTTGTCTCGTACTTAATTTTGATTCTATAGCATTTGGTCACTGAAATTCTGCTGAGAAATTTTAGACTTCCATGTTTAATACAGAAACTATTACAAAATTTGTAAAGCAGCTCTTCAGATAAAATGCAGGGTACGAGGGTGTGAGATCTCAGTTCAATTTACAAATACCTACTACGAAGTCAAATGATGAATTAATTGATGAGATGTTGGATCCGTTTTTGTACACATTGTAAGTGGATACAGGCTAACAAACACCTAAAATGATTGTGTCGATAAAACCATTTTTTGGAAGATACGTGATATAAAGAGCGACCCCAAAGGCCCAAAAGCAGAGAATATTCTAAGGAGAACATAATTTTCCACAAAGCGTCCTAGTTCACTGACAATTTTGGGTATAATCATACAAAAATAAGTGTTCAAGTGCTACAAAAATTTTGAAGTATTTAAGAAATTTATAGTTTCTGTATTTTGGGGTCACTTTTTAAATAGACTATAAAAATGTTAATATATTCATACAATACTATATAGATATTGTGGACTTTATTCTTAATAATATGTATTGCTGAAAGCCAACACAGTCATGGATGACTAACAGGGAAGTATCAGAAGAAATGAATCAATGCAGAATGCAAAAACGATGATGCATAACCCGATTGCAAAGTTTAAATTAAAAAAAATCTAGACAAAAAGTTAATATGATATGAAAATGTACATGATAGCACACAAACATGCTGTCATATTCGTATGCTGTAGCATTTTTATTCTATGACATTCCCCTCCAGGAAGTGAAAAAGCAATATGCAACCAGATACATGGTATGAATGGATAGATAGCTAAAAATAAAATTTCCATAACATCTCCAACAGAAAACTATTCTATACAAACAAACACGCACAAAACCAGGAAGTTGCTCTAAGTCTAAGCTATCAATTTATATTGAATTATGTGACAGGTTCTTCATTTTTTATTTTTTGAATTATCTGAGTCACAAGTAAAAACAATCTATTGGAAACCAGCATGCTCTAGATTTTTTGATCTTTCAATACACTTTATCGGTGAAAAGTACAGCCAAAGGTTCTCAGTTTCACTGCATTACAAAAGCAAAAATGGACTTTGGAATTTCCCATTGCTGGTAAGTGAAAAGAAAGAAAAAAATAAAAGGCCATAGGACTAGGATTTCAAAGTTGAATTACCGATTTTTTAATATTGTATAATAGTTTTAATTTTTTCCTTTTTGAGTGAGTTACTTTTAATTTTTTTTAAATCTCAGTTTCGGACAAATCCCCTCTAATACATAAAAAGCTTAAAATCTTGCCTCCTCTAAATTTTTTTTCGTAAAAACATCTTAAAATGCATATTTAGAATTTGTTTCATAAATTGAATTTCAGAAAATTTATTGGACCTCCAGAAGTATGCGCACCAAGATGTGGCACAACCTGAACATTGTATGTGTGTACCGGTTAGGATTCAGGTTGTGCGATATCTTGGTGCACATATCTCTGAAGCACCAATTTATTTGTGGTGTAGCCATTTTCACTATAGGCAAAGATCACACAGAAAGCTAATTTTGAATATCTATATAGTACACAGTTCTATTGAGAACACAATCAGGAGTATTTTTTCCAAACTGAATTCTCATAATATTTTAACCTGGCTTTTGACAACCGACAATTACTATTTAAAAACCTAGTGACCATGCCTTCGGCAGAATACTTGGGTAAAAAAATCTTTAATCAGCATTTTTTAAATTTCGGACAATATTTTTCCCATAGTCGATCCCCCATTTCACTATTAGCAAAATTCCCAACAGTCAGGCATTCGTGCTAACTTTGAAATTTTCAATACTTAGAACTCTACTAAAAACAATTCAGATCTCGTTTTACCTGAATTCCCTGATAAAATTTTCTACCTGGCAGCATATAATTACAAAAATCACACTTACTTGGGGCTCATACAGCCTTCTTGATGCTGCCGGACGATGGACATTCGAAGATTCTTGAATTGAAGAATGAATTGAAGCTAAAATTAGAAAAAAATTGTCAAAACTTTTGATCAATTTAGAATTTAATGATTATCAAATTTGGTTGGATTCATGTATTCAATACTAGAACTATCAGTTGAGGTTACACGAGACTAACTCCCTATCACCCCTCAATGCCTTTGTGTGGTTCCGTATATGCATATAATGCAAGGATGCTATAGCAGAAATAAACATATCACACTATGCAACACCATTCAAAGAGTCAAAACACCATTATAAGAGGCTTATATATGCTGAAATTTTTGTCATTAAAATTTGGTTTTCTCAGTGTTTGGAACCGAAGATCCAATAAATTTTCCTTCATTCATTTTCAGTCATTTCGGAAACAGCTTGGGTGTCAAAGTTTAGTCCTTCGTGACAAGTGTATAGATCAGGGGTGGGCACGATTTTTAAACCAGGGGCCAGAAATTGTGCACACTTAGACTGGCGGGCCATAAAAGTGGCGCATAAAAAGTTACATTTTATGAACAATATTTACAGTATTACAAAGAAATGGTGGAAAACAATTCGCCTCGTGCCAAAACTAAATTTAACCGCAATCTCAACAAATTCCTTGAGCTATTTTTAGCTAAAACATCAAAATTAGATTTCATTTTGGTTGTGGCAGCATCAGGCGGGCCAGATTGAATTACCCAACAGGCTGGATTTGGCCTGCGGGCCGTACTTTGCCCATGTCTGGTATAGATTAATATTTACAGCCCCATTTTAAATACTTACGTGGATTTGATTGAAAATGAAATGGCTGTTGTGAGTGCCGTGGTGTTCTTTCTCCAGAACTTGATGAAAACGTACCACTGGGTACAGGGCTTGTTGGATGAGATTCCTAAAAAAAAGAAAGATGAAATGTTAATTAGGATTTAATATGATCACAAATCTAACAATTTATTTAAATTTTTCATATTGCACTGCCGTTTCATAACCTTATACAGCACTGCAGAAAAAGAAAATACACTTTTTTTCACGATATAATTCTGAATCTCCTAATATTTAGGACCAGGTTTCCCAAACTTTTTTGGGCTGCGAAACAATATTCATGAATCTAGGATTTACATATTTATCCTGGGGGAGAGGAAAGTCGATAGGACGGCTTAACCATATGGCGAACCACGGCCTCTCGTCCGGTTACCATTCCATGTCAAGTATGGAATTAGTCAGTTATTTGTTTTTAGAAGCATGGACCTGATGGTGGAGGAAGCTGTAACCGACCAGTGGTTACGTGAACCACAAAATTAAGTCCATATTAAAAATATTATATCAGTATGAAATTCTGATATTCCATTTTAGATTTGAAATAACCCTTGAAGAACCCTAAATGAAAATAATATTATCCCCTATATCAGTTTCTAATACATAAAGCATGTTATGTGATGACACTCCAGAAGTATGCGTACCAATAAGAAGGTAACTAATTTTGTTCGCCTACTTTACATCAAGTTGTGAAAGAGACTGAAACCTATAGGCAGGTGGTATATTCACTTGGCTAACACAAACAGTCCCAGAACTCATAATAGAACTAAAATAAGGAAAATTGGAATAAAGTTATAGCCCAACTACATTCTGGTACACATACTACAGGAGTACCATTAATTTTTGTTAAGTTTAACAGGCTACCGAGAACGATGATTCAAAAAAAACACCGCCCAATGTGAACCACGCACTCATGTCATGACTAAGTTTTAGCTTCTGCACTATAGAAGGAAATGAGTTGGAATATCTTTGATATATTCAAATACAAACAGAAATAAAGTACCTGTCTTATAACATGGTGAACACTAGTAGTACTTCCCCCTCCTTCATCTCTCCTATGAACTCTAGTGACCTGGAATAAAATATTAACAGCCTTTGATATTTACATTCTTTGTGAAAGAGTTATTATGTGATGTTAGGTTAAAAATTAAACTGCGTTGGCATATCAGTTTACACATCTCGGGACCAAATGGACTAAAAAGGCACCATTCAAAGCAATGAGCCAGGTGTCAGTCGTCATTGGATACATAAAGTGGGTGATATTCACTTCACAGCTATTGGAAAACCATTGGCTGCTTTTAATTTTACTTAAAAGTGAGATTTCCATCACTTACATGGCCAGTCTCATTGACGCTGGATCTTCAGCGATTCCACAACCTCGTGATTAACAAACAGCAAACTTTTTAGATAATAAATTGTAGAATATTTTAAAAATCTGTAATTCAATCGACTTATTATACATACCAATTTCAGAAGCACTCAATACTTGATTTAATTTTGACACTCTTCTGACAAATATTCTACCAAAACAAATTTTGAGGATAAACAACTAACCTGTTCCATTCTCCTTGATGGTGTCACAGGCATACTTGCAGCTTGAGTGCCCTGTTGCACAGGCTGGAAAAATAAAAAAGAAAGGATCGATTATGAAACTGGTATAAATAATATGAGTCAATGTCTCAAAGTCAACTAATCAAAACAGACATTTGAAAAGGGTGCTATATTCCGAGTGACTTGTTAAAAATCCACAAACTTCTTGACTTGGAATATTAAAGAGAGAGGCTTGAAACCAGCGCTAGGTGTCAGGAGCCCGTTTGCCATCACAGTGCTCCCCACCACCATAGGCAATATCCAGCTATGACTCCATTTACGAGTCTATAGTCTATTCCACACACAAGCAACAAGCTGAGTTAGCCGATACTGTGTTACAAACCACCAAACTTTTTTTCAAATGATCGACCGTCCAACTATTACCCTGGTGCATCTCATTCATGGACAAAACCATTGATATTTATTGATGGTGCGCCTTACTGTCCGTAAAATACGGTACTTCAACATAAATTTGAATATTATATCAATATGATCATCCCCAATATTGAACCTCTTATTAAACCAAAATGTGATATAAACATAAATTCATGGCTCCATTGGCAATGGATGACTCATAATCATATTGCCACGAAATCATAGGATCTCATTAACCCCATAAATAACCCGGGGAAGGGAAATCTGATAAGACAGCTTAATATTCATATGGTAAACCATGCCCTCTTGTCGGTTAATTACCAGTCCATGTCGGGTATGGTATTAGATTGCCAGTTATTTCTTTCGTAGAGGAAGCCGTAACTGACTAATGATTAAATGAACCACCTTACGGCGGCGAGTAGTCCCTCTCATACATAATTAACCCCACAGGGTGTGGTGGCAAGCATATTTCTAACGCTCAGCACGATGCACCTTGTACATAAAAGCTTACCTGTCTACTTGCATGCATAGGATGATAAGATTGAGGAGACATCGGCGGGTTGTAGAGATAAGTCTGACCTTGTAAACCCTAGAAGAAACAAAAGAGAAGAAACCTTGAGTCTGTATTTGGGGAGAACATACTCAAAACTTGTCAAAATTGGCTATTTGAGGTTAGAAAGTATACACATTTTAAAATTTAATGCTCTTGCTTGAACAGATTATAACCACAGATAAATATGTATAAAATGAGAATTAGGTAGGTAAACCCTTCAGGAACAGACATATCTATCAGTGTATAGAGAAAGAACACCAATTCCAATTGCATAAATGTCTACAGATGGGTCACACTTGACACATTTCTACACAGATTTTTAAAGAATTCATTACAAAATACTTACACTGGTTGATGCAACTTCATAGGGTTTTGTTAATTCTTCATTGCTATGCACAGATGCTTTAGCTGAAATTAACAAATAACATTGAGAATTAATTATTTCTAAACAACAAATGACCCATCATTTAACCAAAGCACAACACAAAAATATATAGTCCTATTGGGAATTTCGAACATAGATGATGTAATGTTTTATGGGGCAGCTGTTCAGTGGGACTTGAAGTTGGGATTTGAAATGAACTCTTTGGATTTCTAGTACACAAAGTACTGGCAATAAGCAAGCGATATAAACTTTTCTTAGAAATAAAAATGCGATTTCCTCTACCACCTTATTTGTACCCTGAATACACACAAACTTTACAGGGACAGATACATACATGCACAATGACAAAACTTTTAGTTAGTCTATTGCAACTAACCATGTTGGGGACACAAGTCTAAGATCAAAAAAGGTCCCATTTCTTACAGTGATTCGAATTCAGATTTGACTGTTTGAGCTCATAAATAATACTTTTCTATCAATAGATATCAGAAGACTTACCACCTGCCGATGTCGGTCTGGAGTCTTGCTTCACAAATTGACAACCTTCCATGTGGAACTGTGGATCACTAGGATTGTCCGTTGCATTTAATGTGTTGATATTTGCCAGCTTGTTGCAACTGAAAATAATTAGGTTGTCTTTTGAACATATTTTTGGACACAAAATATATATATCCTATCAATTGGGTTTCTGCAGAACCAATTATATATCTTTCTAGAGTGAACCCAACTATTCCAAGGGATTCGTTAGTTTTGCTGTATGCTAACACAAAATATTTGTTATATTTTGTCTGGCCGAACATAATTGACTATGTTAAAATGTGTAACATTATTAAAGAAATATATTTGTGTAAGTAGGTTTAGGATTGTCAGCCACAAATTATATTGGCCGACAAAGGTATGGTTCTAATTTACTTTGGCATCATTTTGGCCTAATGAATCATTGATCATCGAATGAAGAATAACTGTGAGTACAATGGCCCGGCGGCCTTGTTCAATACGAGTCGTGAATAACTGCATCACTGCAAAGAAGTGCCAAAGCATATAATTTTTTGGTAAAAATGAAAAACAAAATGTTACACTTACCCAGTACATGTTAGATCTTTCGATATATTGTTATAAATAAATCCACACTTTGCAAACTGAATAGGGTTGAGCTGAAGAGTCTCTGGAAAATCTTCAAATGATAATGCTCTTTCCTGGAAACCCATTAGATGGTTTGAGGCTGTAAAGCAAAGATGAATATCATGACCATCCTGAACCTGCGAAAACCCGAGTATCAAACAGTCAAACAAGATAACAAAGAGAAATATGAGGGATTTATTTTATAAATTGTATAAACTCATTACAATTAGCTTCAGGTTTTAGATTCACTACTATATTATTGAGAAAATTGGCTTTATTTTTCTAACAAGAATATACCGGTACATTCATATACAATGAACATATCATACTGAAAACTGATAAAATCTTATGGAAGATTGTCAAGGTCAAGCAGGAGACTTGTAGCCTAAAATTATCAATGGTAAGCTGTTATAGCTACCTCCTGGCGAATGTTCATAGGAACCTACAGTATTTGTTCGTTTTGTAGCCCGGGCCCATATTTTTTTAACCAAACTCAGTAACCGGGCCCTTATTCAAGCACGGGCGCTTGTTATTTTTGAAGTAAAATTATACACAAAATTTGTGTATAACTTCGTTAATGTATCAAGTCTTCATTCATCCAATCATTCCCACTGTAAGCACACACAACACCACTTCCTTTCTGAAGGCCTTTATCCAGTCGTTTACCCTTGAATACTATGAAAGGTGGGAGCTTGCTACCATTGGCCTTGGCAGCTAGTACAACAGTCACTCTTGATTTCTCATGGCCAGTGGTCTTGATAGCGCTTATTTCCTATTGTTCTCTACCACTGAAAAATCAGCTTTTACATTGGGCGGGTATTCAAGCACCAGCCCTTATTTATTTTTATCAAACGGCCCTTAATCAAGATCGGGCGGTAATCGAGCATATACGGTATCTTTTTTGATAATATGTAACTGCGCCTAGGAAAACACTATTCTTACATTTTTAACTATCACTATTAACTCACCATTGCTACTTGAATGAGAATGTTTACTTTGATTGCTTTGATTACTTGGAGGTCCATGTTCTTCTTCAGTCTCCATTTTGTGGAAAAATTAGGGACAAAAATTATAAAAAAAAGTTCACGAGTCTATTTACAAAAGGCAATATACTGATATAATCCACTACTTCATTTGTTCTTGATTCGGCGGCGAATGTATCCGTTATTGATTCTCCTCTCGCAGCCCCTGCTCACAATTTGGAACGTTTCCAAATTGTGACATATTGCATGTTTTGTAATTCAATATATTTAAACTGAAATAAGTCAAATTAGTTTCATGTAAATAATAACAGTCTTCAAATCAAGTTAGCCAATTTCATTTACTGATGCGTGTATTGGATGCTGACCGTACCAGTACTGCGGAACTGTTGAATTATAACTGCTGAACTGTGTAATGGCTAGACAGCTGGAAATCCTAAATTGTTGACTACAGTCCAGAGGTCTTTTTTATTCCTTAGTCCTTAATCCGGCTAAAAATTTCACTCTATTAGTCCTATTTTAACTGTTTAATTGTTGTAAGTTATCGTACATACAGACATAGACATAATGATAGGATACTGACAGTTATTTTTCAAGATCAGAAAAAAGTATTAGCAATAGTATGAGATTGACTACCGGCAGACCAGTACAGCAGTACGTACTGTACAGGACTATGACTGTACTACTACTGTTACTATATTTTGAACATCTTCATTACACAACAAAAAGATATTGGTACCGGTACATGCGGTACCGGTAAGGTAGCACAGGCCTGTAAGCTACAGTACTGGTACCTGAATATCAGTACTGGAATACCGCCATTAAAGTCTGAAAGTACCGTACCGTAGTCACCTGCAAACTTTCACTCAGTACTGCAGTAAGGTATCTCAGTATCTGGGGTCTAGCAGTCTAGTATAGGTACTTCCAGTGGGCGTAGCATAACGAATTTTGGGGTCTGGTATAGTTTAGTACCACATGCACTTCTAGTTCAGTAGTTGGCCTGGCTCAACTATTTTTGCATATGTCAATCCTAACCCCTACCCGACTACGTTACCGAAAAATTACATCATTTCGACGTCACAGTGGCGTAATAAGGCCCACCAAAGTATGCCGGAGGTAGTCCAAAACGCGCAGACGATCATCCAAAATCGAGCAAGCTATTTCTCTCGTTTTTTCGTCACAACGATCCCGATAGGAGAGAGATCGCCGGCGTTAGTGAGTTCGTTATCAGCGGCGCAGATGCCATTTTGGGCGATCGTAATTATACTTTGACAAGCCCTATGAAGTGATGATGACGTCGTAGTGACGTAATTTTTGGATGGCATAGTCAGGAGGGGGTTAGGAATAACATATGTAAAATTCGTTATGCTATGCCAACTGGAAGTACTTGTGGTACCAAACTATACTAGACCCGAGCCAGGCCAACTTAAAGTGCATGTGGTACCGTACTAAACTATACCAGACCCGATACGGTACCAGTACCGTACAGCAGTACGGTACGGTACCGTACCGGTACCTTATACCGGCAAAGGCGGTACCGGTTAAGCGTTCGCTTCGTACCGGTACTGCAGTACTGTCAAGGACATGGATAACTTTTTTCTGATCATTAAATACCGTAATGTGACAGTACGGTATTTTTGTGACATTATTTCTAACATTTTCTAAACTTCTGAACTTAATTAAGTACGGTACCGGTAGTCTACTAAAACAGCTTCTCTGCACACATTTCTGTCTAGTGAGAGAGCCTTTTATTCAACCATCTAACTAGGTACGGTACCGGTATGACACGGTCGTATAACTTTTTCTAGAACGTTACAGAGAAATTTAAGCACTGTCGAAATATTTTATCCAGGTGTTTCAAATAGTCTAGTCAGGGAGCGTCACCAAAACAAAGGATATGTGTGACGTTACCAAATTCTGTAATTCTGACGCATTCATGACCAACGGTGCGTGACCAACGGTTACCAGGCGACGAAAACTGCAGGTATACGCGCTAACCGGGACTACAGGTTTGTTACATTATTTTTGTCTACTGCTCGACGTACCGGTGCGAGATACCTATATATTGTATCGCTTCTGGATTTAGGAACAAAGCGAATATCAATAAGGATATTCCAGGTTCCCGAATAGGAAATGAACGGCGACAAAGATGTGCAGCGTGTCGCAGAAATAACAGCAATGGAACGAATACCGGTACTAAATGAGTATTCAACTAGGATAGGATAGGATTTACATATTTATCCCGGGGGAGAGGAAAGCCGATAAGACGGCTTATCCATATGACGAACCACGGCCTCTGGTCCGGTTACCATTCCAAGTCGGGTATGGGATTAGTTTTTACTGTATTGTTTGTTTTTCGGAAGCATGGACTTGGTGGTGGAGGAAGCCGTAACCGACCAGCGGTTACGTGAACCACCCAACGACGGCGAGGAGTCCAGCAATCCTCTCGCACATAACCATCCCTGCATGGGATTTGAACCTGCGAACCCACGCAGAGTAATTAGAGGTGCGGTGGCGAGCGTATTCCTAACGCTTAGCCCGTTGAGCCACACCGCCGCGCCCTATATAACATGTGTAAATAGTTTGCAGGGTAACTTACTATGACCATATCAATGCGCAAAGTTTTTAAACATTCATTTAATGGCATATTTTTGTTTTGTTCTTTCTGTGTGTATACTGTTTTAACAATGCTGGCCACGTCAATATATCAATTATTGGCTACAGACCTGTTCACATGTGATTAGTGTTTTTCTTGATAATTGTTTTTATGAGTGTCCGCACACCGAATTTGCCGTCATGGTTTTGCGTTTGTTTGTATATTAAACCACTTATTACCTTTTCCGCAATGCCCCATCTAGCAACCAGTGTAGTTTTTCATGGCTTGGTTCTTCTTAAAGCGTTCATGGCTTCATGAGTATGACTATCTTTGTCAAGCTATTACATTCCACTCTCCACAATATCTTTGCATGAGAATATATTAGTTTTACTTGCTCTCCAGAATTCTCCATCTTTGATTTATGTCTGTTATGGAGTTTTCAAAATAAACTATCTATCTAACGCGTGGAATCCAACGGGCCCAAATGTCTACATTTGCGGTAAGCACTTTATCAGCGGTCTTACTACTTACTGAATACAGCGCGAAACACCACAAAGAGCGCAATACAGCGCAAAACAGAGGGAAACAGCGCAAAACAGTGGGGAAACAGCGCAAAACAGTGTGAAGCAGAAAAAAATTTTGCAATGAGTTCGGGGCACCTTGTTTTGAGTTGGAGTACCACGACAGCAAATAAAAAACACAAACCAACATATGTAGCCAGTAATGCTGTAATGGCAGATCTGCCCCTGCTGGTGACACATTTTGGGTACCATAATTTAGAACATTTTCCATATGGATATGGTTGGCTTTAGGGTTAGGTAAAAAAGGACCTCCAGAAGTATGTGCACCAAGATGGCGCACAACCTGAAAATAGTATGTGTGTGTAGCGGATTCAGGTTGTGCGACATATTGCTGCACATACTTCTGGAGCACTAAAAAGGTAGATGAAATTTCGCATGATGACCTATAATCCGGTACATAACCTTGTATATATGCCGGAAATAGCGCCATAAAACCATAGCGAGATGCCCGTGGTTCTTTCGTGGCAGGAGGTGGTAATGACTGCGTCTCCTGTTTTGCGCTGTATTCAGTAAGTAGTAAGACCCCTTTATCAGTGGTAAGTATCCATATGTTTGCCAATAGTTTTTTTTATTTCTGGAATTGCTCTATTTTTGATATGTAATTAAACTCTTGTAATGCTCTTTATTGAGTTTTTTTCTTGACTTACACTTATGCACTGTACCACTGCACTTCTTCATTGGTGAAATAAACTGAAATACTTAATTTCTGAAAGTATCCGAGTTGTTGTCATGTCAAAAAAATTGCAAGAAATTTTTTTTTTAGGCAACCCAGTTAGAGATCCCTGCCATCCAGACTATATTCCATCAATTTTTGTATATTCAGCCGCCTCAAGTAAATCCAATTTAAAAAGACTTTTCAGATACAGCAGTGCAAAAGATAGAAGTGTGCATATCAATCAATCGTTTATTTGTCATCACAAAAACAAGTTCAAATAAAAACGGATACAATGAATAAATACAGTACAGTTCGCATAAAAAAGCGAAAAGTCATAAAATAGAACTATTTAATAGAAATCCAGAACCAGTCGATACTGCAGCTTCATCTCATAGTGAGTCAAATGCAACCGTCAAAGAAAATCAATTGGAGGAGTAAACTTTATGAATCAGAAAAGAGAAAAATGAAGCTTTAGACAAATTAGCTAATTTAGAAAACTTTGAGGCAGAACTTATGCAGCTTAGAATGGAGAGAAATGAGGTAGTGGAAAAACTAAAAAATTTTAACATTTTTAGTTACAAGAACTTGAGCAAATAGCCAAAAAAACTCATTTACTATACTGGTTTACCAGTAGAAACATTTGATGTTATTTTCAATTTCCTCTGCCCCTGTTTTCCAGATCCGTGCCATTATGAAATGCTCATGACCCTCATGAAACTACGCTTAAACGAACATTTTGATAAGTTAGCAGACATATTCGATTTGTCTAAATTCAATCTCGACAACGCATTCTGGCGCTGGATTGATTTAATCGAAAACAAAATGTCGTTTCTAATTTGTTGGACTGTGAAGCAAATATGAAAACACTACCACCACTTTTTCGACAATACTTCCCAAGATTGGCATCATAGACTGCTGTGAAATATTTATCAATAGACCGAAACGATTACTTGCCCGAGCCCAAGTATACTATAGTTACAAAAAACATTCCACAGTCAAATTTTTAATAGCTTGTACACCGAACGCTGGAACGGTTCAATTTTGTATGCTTCCAAACTCTTCCTGTTTTTCATGGCCTCTTTTGTGTATATTCCAGGTGTATTGATGAGATATTAATATACGTCAGCAGTGTTCACTATTAGCGCACTTTTTTGCGAAAATTGCGAAGCACTTTCGCAACTTTTTTTAGAGACTGCGAAATAGCACTTTTTTCCGATTTTGAAGAGAAATAGCACTTTTTTCCGATTTTGAATGGAATAAAAATTCAAAGTTAACAAATATTTTCGACTTTTAAGTTGACAAATAAGTAACATACTAGTACTTTTGTAACTCAATTCTGCATATCATAACGATATTTACCGGTATTCTAACCTATGAGATGCAGACATAGGAGATAAAGCTTTTGCATTAACGGCAAAATTCTTGTTTATAATATGATTATTATACAAGCACACCGATTCCGCTTCTCCCGCAAAAACGCTCCGCGTCTTTGAAACCAGATGTTGGAATACTACCAGTGCCTTTCTTTTAACGAAAGTGGTCATGTGACTATCAATGATATCCTTGAATTCAAAATGACTATAAAAGTGTTAGTAAAGTGTTATAGTCACTTTGGATGTATTGTGACCAAAGTGCACGATT